AATGGAGACCAGCCTCCTCCATAGGGTGACTCAGGGATCCATGTGTCAATGCCCACGTAGAAGCTCCACAAAGGCTTCTCATAGGAAGTGACATCTGTCACCACTGTCCACAGCCATTGCCCAGAACTAGTTAGGAAGCTCTGTCTGTGCAGAAACCAGGAAAGTAAAAAGGAACCATGTGTGGAGGGGGAGAAGGATCTTTGGAGAGCAGGATAGAAGAACAGGTGCTGTAAAGGAGGGCACAGGAAAGGCCACCACCTTTGTCCGGGGAAAGGGGGAGGGAGGGAGGAGGGATGGATAACACTAAGGATGCAAGGATGATTGAAAAAGCCAAAGGGAAACATTATTTTATGTTCACTTAAAATACATATTTAATATATATGTAAGTGTGTATCATAAATAATTTAAATTAAGTTACGACACTTGGGGGTATACCACTTGCTCTTGCAAAGGGCCAGCGTTCAGTTCCCAGCATCCATGTTGAGCAGCTCACAACTGCCTGGAACTCCATTTTCCAGGGGATCTTAAGCCTCGGCAGGCACCTGCACCCAGGAAGCACATTTATCCTCTGAGCTATCACTTCAGCTCCTTTGTATTGTTCTAAATCACTTGTGTTAGAAGCATTCTGTTTTGTCTTGGTCTGAGACAGGGTCTCCCTTGGTAGCTCTGACTATCACTATGTAGACCAGGCTGTCTTGAACTCACAGAGATCCTCCTGTCTTTGCTGCTCAAGTGCTGATATTAATGGCTTGTGGAAAGATTAAAAACAAAAACAAAAAAAAAAACTACCAATTGTGGAGACCCACAAAGGTTTTTTAGAGACATCTGAGCTTGCTTTACCCAGAGAGCTGTATTAGAGGATTGCTTGACCATGTGCATGGTTTTTAGGTGATTGAAAGGGTCTGCAATCGGCTGAGCTAGGGGGAGGTCTTTTGCTTCCCCCTTTGGCTTTCCTATAAATAGTCCTTTGGAAGAGACAGAAGGGGCTGGTGGATAAGAATCCAGGCCCTCCCGAGGCTATCCTGTGTTTCTGTCTGTTTCTCTCCCCTCTATCCTTCTATCTAAATCTCTTATACTTCACTCATTAAGAGCACCCTGGGGTAAAATGTGGGAGCTGGTCTTCCAGATGGCCCCCACAACCAATATAGGAGTTCTTTCTTCTCAAGAGGCATCTTTCTCTATGAGGTGGATAGAATTGTGTCCTCCTCAAGAACCATCAGAACCCTAATTTACCCTCAGTGCCTGTGAAGACAGGGTTTTTTACAGATGTAATGCAGGTAAGATGATGTCATACTAGAGTGGGACAAGTCTGCATCCTTATGAGAAGATGAAAAATCCAGACACAGCAGAAGGCCGGGGCATGGCCCGGAGCCATCAGAGACCTCAGGAGGAACCTGGAGATGCCCTCATTTCAGACTCCAACACTGATAGAGAACAAGTCCCTGGTGTTCTAGGTCGGATGGTCAGTAGTGATTTGATACAACAGCCCTGCAGGCATGCACCCCTCCACATGCCCAGAAATGTGCCCCCTCCCCATCACACACTCCAAAGTGCAAGCCTTTCACTTCCCTGCCTGCAGAATCCTGCTAGAGCCTCACATTTTCCACAGAGACGTGCGTCAACTGGGCCCCCACAAAGTCTTCTCAGGGGACTCCCGTGAGCCAAGTCAATCTTGTATCTGGATCTCTGGCCAGCAACTCTGTTGTTTTCCATCACTCAGAATGCTCCTTGGATGTCAAGGGACCACCGGCCGGGAGGATGTGCCTCTCCTGGGACAGCATCCCTGGTCCACGCACTCTTCTTACTGAAGGTCTTACTGCTTTGAAGGCAGAAGCAAGGTGGGAAGGAGCTAACGAGGGCTCTTTGGGAGGTGTCAAATGGGTGGTGAGCGCACAGTTCTGAGCTTCCCCAGAGGGAAACACACATATGTTTGCTGGTTCGCATTCCCAGCACAGCCTTATTTGTAAAGTGGGTGTGAAATGGAGAAATGAGGGTGAAGAAAGCTTTGGGGGAATGAAACATTCCTGGAAACCCCAAGGGACTGCCTGAGCCTGAGCCCCAAACCCAAGCCAGTCCTACTAATAGCTTCTAGAACTTTGGGACCAAAGGTTGGTGGCATGGGTTGAACTACAAATTTCATAAGAGGAAGGGTCTAATCCCAGTGATGGAATGTGATCTTTTTTTTTTTTTTCAAAGCTAACTGTGTGCCCATGTACTCAGGTAGGCTGAGGGCACACTGGACTAGGTAAGACCCAATCCTACAAGCAGGTTTCTTTATAGAGACCTTTTGGCCACACTGAGAGAAAACTAACAGGAAGATAGAAGCAGATAAAGGGTGACGTTTTAGGTGGGAGATTCCAGGGATCAAATCCAGGGCCTTGTACATGCTAGGTAAGTGTTCTACCACTGGGCCACACTCCAGCCCCAAGGCACCGTTTCTGAGAGCAAGGGGCATCAAAGACCTCCAGCAAACTACAGAAGCCAGGGAATAGCCTCCTGCCTTGAAACTCTCAGTCAGGGTGGACTCCAACACCATTTTGACCTCAGAACTCCGCCCTCCAGAGGTGAGAGGCAGTGTCGTGTCCAAAGCTCCTGATTTACAAAAGCCTTATGGCTGGACAGCTAGAAGAGACCTGGGAGGCAAAGAGCTGGCACCCCCTTCTGGATGAGATGCTGAGGAGATGGTAATGGCGCCTTCAGGGATGGTATTCCCAACATGTAGGAAGCTCTTTGCTCCCGGGCACACATGGTAGTATAATGTGCATATAGGTCGGGTATGAGAGAGAAGATATGGCTTTCTTTACACTTGAAAGATACCTGTAGGGATTTTTTTTTTTTCATCCAGACTTTGGGTTGTTGCTCAAATTCTAGGCACATAGATCATGTCAGAATGTGTGTTCTTTGTGGGTGTGTGTTTATACAGGTGCACCTGTTTGTATAGGTGCATATGGGTGTATATGGACACGTACACGTGTGTGCACCTGTGTGAGGAGGGCAGAGTTCAACTCTGGATGTCATTACCCTCATGCTGTTCACCTTGTTATTTTTTTATTATTTATTTTGTTATCTGTCTTGAGTGTTTTGCCTGCGTATATGTGCAGCATGTCCATGCCTTGTGAGGCCAGAGGCCAGAAGAGGGTATTGGATCCCCTGGAGCTAGAGTTATGGGAGGTTGTGAGTCACCTTGTGGGTGCTGGGAACAAAACTTGGATCCTTTGCAAGAACAGCCTTAACCACAGAGCCATTGCTCCAGCCCCAACTTCATAATTTTAAAAAGTTTTGTTTATTATTATTATTATTATTATTATTAGTAGTAGTAGTAGTAGTACTAGAGTGTGGCATGTGTGTGTATGCCATTGGAATGTGTATGGAGGTCAGAGGACAACTTCATGAAGTCTGTTCTCTCCTTCCACCTTTATCCAGGTTCCAAGTTTGAACTCAGGGCATCAGGCTCGTGCAGCAAGCTCCTCTAGCTGCTGGGCCATTTTCCCAGCCCATATCCTGTTTTTGGAAACAGAGCCCCTCAATGAGACTTGGGGCTCACTGAATAGGCCAGCCTAGCTGGCCACTGAGTCCCAGAGATCCATCGATCTCCACCTCCCAGCACAGGGATCCATGCCCAGCCTTTTGATGTGGGTGTCGAGGATCAAGTTCAGGCCTTTTTTCTTGTGTGGCAAGTACTTCACCACAGAGCATTCATCTTCTCAGCCCTTCCATGGTGCTCTTTAGGCACTCTGTGTTTGCTTGGGAGGTTCAGAAAGGAATAGTCTTCCTCACAGTAACACATCCTTTAGTAACTGTCTTAAAAACACAGTTTCTTCCTCTGTCGTTTTCTCCATCTGGGGTGGAGATGGCTTCAAGAATCGCTTCTCTTGTAGGAAGATGTGGGCAGGTGGAAATGACGCTCTGTTACAAGTTCACTCTGGGGGCCAGGGGTTTCCACGCTATCTGTTCCTCTAGCCATACTGACTATGCCCTTTTTCATGCTTTAATGCATTTGTAAGGAACAGTAGAACCTGGATACTTTTAGGTAAAAGACTGGGTTTTAAATATTGCTCAATCTTTTCTTCTTCTGCGTCTTGTATTGCTTTTTGTGAAGCTTATGGCTATCCCCAAGTGATTTTTCTCTTTGTTAATCTCTGTCCCCAGATATAAGTGAGGTCTGTGAGAGTGGCATGTGCCTTGCCAGTGCCATTCCACTGGCAGAGTAGTTGTGCCATAAATGATTGGATGGCTAGCACTCATCAGTGTGTGTGCATCTCAGGGCTCTGCCATCTTTTCTCTATAAAGAACCATGTTGGGAACACAGTGAATAAAGTCTGAATCTCCAGGTCAGTGTGTATGTGTGTTCCTGCATTGGGAACATCGGACATCATCCTCAGTTGCTCTCCATGCTAATTTTTGAGACAGGGTCTCTCGGTGAACCTGGGGCTCACAGATTGAGCTAGGCTAGTTGGCCAGTGAATTCCAGGGACCCCCCCCCCCGTCTCTGCCTCCACAGCACTGGGTTTATAGACACACACCACTGTGTTTAGCTTTTTATGTGGGTTCTGGAGATCTGGACCACCTCTCTCAAGGTCAATTTTTGAACACAGCTGTGTGTAAATACCTAGGAGACCCAAGGAGAGGACAGAATGCCCTCATTGCTCCAGCACACAGGGAGGCTGGGCCAAGTGCCTGCCTCTGAGGCTCCCATCTACCATCTGTCAGCAGGCTTTTAGGAGAGAATTACACGTGTGATTTATTTTCAAATCCTTTCAGGTCCTGAAGGAGAGACACTCAGCACACGGTACACTCTGTCATCGTGTGTCAACATCCCCTCTATGCCGGGAGCAGCATTACAGGATGTCAGGGTGTAATTGGATTGCACTGGATCCTTAATCTACATTTTCATTTACCAAAAGCCATAGCATTGGGAGAGCCATTTGCAACTGATGCTGGGGGCCCTGGGAGCTGGGGGTGGGAGGGGGGTCAGCGTATAGAAAGACAAAGGCCAGCCATAAAGCCGCAGAGTGCATGTTTTATATTTACAGTCAGTAAGTTTATAAATATATATTACATTCTTACAATCTACAATACATTCTACACGGGGAGGGGATTTGAGAACAGGCATCTGCTGCAGTATTCCAGGAAACGTCACACGGGTAAGGGCGGGAAGAAATCAGAAAGGAGGCAACTGAAAGCAAAGGATTATGGTAGCAAAGGGGTAAGAGTTTCATCGCCCACCCAAACAAGGGGAGTCAAGTCAACTGGGAGACAGGAGCTGGGTGGCTTGCTGGCTGTCAGAACAACAGGATTAGCACCACAATCAGAGGAGAGAGGGGCCAAGGGGAAGGGGAGGTGGGACTCACAGTCCTCCAGGGAGATTCTCTGATAGGGTGGGGATGAGAGCAAGAGGAAGAAGGGGGAGTTGGTAAGGAAAGAGACAGGGCAATCGGAAAGTAATGGGAAAGACAATGGAGAAATAGGTTCAGGGCACACAGAGAGACCCAGAGAGAGGAGAAAAAAGTCGGAGAGAGCAGAACGATGAAGAAGAAATGATGGCAGTAGAAATACACAGAGAGACCAGCCTCCTTCACCCTTCAAGGCCAGGGCTACTTTTCAGCCCTCCATCCTCACTTCACAGTGAGACCGGGATTGGGGTAGGGATCCCTTGATCACGCCTCCCCCTCCACCTTCAGAGGCTCAGCATCCGAGGGATCTTAGAGACATTGACCAATCATTGTGATTTTAAGCAATGTTTAATCCTTTCAGGGCTGACTTTGGGTCCAAGTGCTTACAACAGCATGTACCAACACATGAGCACCCACAGACATACGCATACTCTCAACATAGACACACATACCTCCTATATGCACACAGGTACACACAGTTGCAGACACAAGCACGTGTGTGCGCATGCACACACATACACACACACACACACACACACACACACACACACACACACACACACACACACCCCTACACATACCCTTCATCTCTCTCATCCTGTCCAAGCGTGCATAAGTCCACCTTCCCTACACACACCTCCTACAGCTCAGAATGGCCCACCCACTTTGAACAAATGGATTTGTCTTAATGCCTTGATGGCAAATTCTTGGACAGGAGGGAGACCCATTCGCAAAACAGCCCTCTATGGGTTCTCGGAAAGCAGGGGGCGGGGTGGGGTGGAGTGGGGAATTCACCCCAAGTCCTGCTCACACTCTGGAGTCCAGCCTCTTCAGAGGGATGTCTGTCCCTGGGACCTCCTCTATGGAATGCTACCTGAAGTTGACACAATGCCCAGGGGAAAGAGGGCCAGGGAGAAAATTCTGGAAATTTTACCCTCCCTTCCTCACTCGCAAATAACCAACGGCAGCAGTATGGGAGTCAGTGGCGTGGAGAGATCAAGTTCAAATGCGGTGAACTTGATAAAGGAGCCACGTGGTTTGTGCCCAGTGTCCTACAGGCAGGAGGCTTCTCTGAGTTGCTCTAATAATGTGTGTGTGTGTGTGTGTGTGTGTGTGTGTGTGTGTGTGTGTGTGTGTGTTTCTTGGCACGTAGTTACAAAGGTATTTGTGGGCTACTCATCTAGCCAGTTCCTTTTTGCCCTGCTAATCTCTGCCTTGGCCTGTCGATAATCCCTGGCCAACTTTGACCCCATCTTTGGGAAATACCAGTTCACTACCCTGCTTCCTGCATCCAGCCTCAGCAGTAGGCTCTGCCTGTATGCACACTCATAGCCGGCCCCACTGGGCCACTCAGATGGCGTGCTTCTTCCCACGGATCCACGCATGCTCATTCCGAGCCTTGCTTTTTTTTTTTTTTTTTTTTTTAAATTTTTATTTTCATGGTCTGAAATACTGACTCTCAGAGCGGCGTGGATCTCACCAAAAAACCAAATCGCTTAGATGAAAAGGGGGAGAGTCCTTCCCTGCAAACCCTCCAACACGCTTCTTGGTTCCAGGTGTGAAAACATTTTGCCATGCACAGCAAACCTCTCAGGTGGCACGGAAACATTGTGCGCCACGGCACAGGCATGGGTGCCGACTCTGGGCCTCCCCGGCTAAGCGGGGATCATTTCCCAAGGCTCCATAGACAGTGTCACCCTTATGGTGTCCTCTTGTCTCATTCCCCCCTTGGCTGCATGTGTACTCTCCATACCCGGGCGGGTTAAAGGCTGAAAGGTAACATTGGAGTCTGTGTTACACATGCTCATGTAGTCTCTCCATGCAACCGTGAGGTTCAGGGCACTCCCCGGGGCCCAGGGCCTGGCAGACCCACTTAATGTCATCCTCATTACTCAACACCATGGTGTTCCCAGCCGAACACCCGTCATCTGAGGAGATGGCAGAGAATGTGGAAAATGTCACTCTTTTCCTTTTGGAGGTAGGGGATGTGGGGGGTTCGCTTTTCTGTTCCTTCCCATCTGTGAGCATGGCTCCTGCCGACCTGAACAGCTGTCCATTGATGCTGCTCTGGGAGTTTGAGCTGAGGAGGAGTTTGCTCTCCTCGAAGTCCAGACCCCTGTCAATGGCAGTGATCTGCTCCTCTTGGGAGGAGGCGAAGTTCATGTGGTTCCCCAACAGCTCTGTCCGGTTGCTCAGCCCAACCCAGTCATGAGAGTGACTCAGACCTTCTTGCTCGGCGAAGGGAACCTGTTTGTGCCTGTACTTCAGGGCAAAGGTCACACAATTAATTAAGAACACCAAGATAGCCAGGCAGAAGACCCCCAGCAAAGCATACATCCCAATTTCCAGGTCACTCAAGCCCTTGGCTGCCTGATCGGGGTCGTGCTCCTCAGAGCCTGTGTTGCTCCTGGGGAGGTCCACCTGGTCTGGGAAGCTGGTGAGGTCTGTGGCCATGGTCTGTGAGAGGATGATGTCATCTAACAGGCTTTCCTGGCCTTCCTTCTTCTGGAAAGTCGGCCTCTTGGTTGTACTGCCCCATCCCTCCATGAGCCCCATGGATGAGCTGCTGTAGTACGGCCCTTCGGGGCTGCCCCATTCCTGCAAAGGCCTTTTGGATCTCCTCTCGTTGATATTCTCCACATGAAGCCCGGCCCCAAGGTGTCCGCTCTCACTGCTGTTGGGGTTCCCATCATTCTGTCCAAATTTCACCTTGATGTTGGCTGTTCCCACGGCCAGCACGCTCTTCCGCTTAGATTTCTGGCAAGATTCGCTGATCAACATCTCCACCTTCACCAGAGCCCCCTGCCCTTCGTTTTCTGCAGCGATGATAGGCCACTTGAATTTGGGGTCCTGGAGAATGGAGACAACCTTCTCATCCAAGGAGGTGGCCATCAGGGAGAAATCCTTCTCATCGTAAATGTCCAACGGTGTGACAGAACCATCGCTGAACTGCACCCAACAGCTGATGGCCGCTTCCTGTGGAAGAAGAGAAGTGGGTCAACATGCGTCAAGAGGCCCAGCAAGCCTGCACGTAGAATGAACTTTTCCTGGGGCTTCAAGGAAAAGCCAGTTGGACAATGTAGAGAAAGCCCTAAGCAGCTCTACCACAGAACATGGAGGGATGTGAATTCCTATAAAGAACCAAGAGGGGGCGGGCAAATGGGACCAGATTAAGCCTTCCAAAATAAGATTGGCTTTTGAGGTTGGGGACATAGTTCAGTTGGTGGAGTGCTTGCCTAGAAAGTGTGAAGCCTTGGGCTCCATCCCTAGCACCAAATTAACCCAGGCACAGTGGCACACAACTCTAATCTCAGCACTTGGGAAATGGAGGCAGGAGCATAGGGATTCTAGGTCATCCTTGACTGTGTAATGAGTTCTGGGTATCCTTGTCTCAAAAAAATTTAAGATTGACTTATTTTCTGAGCTGTTAGCAGTCAAACAGGTTCAGAGCCCCCTCCCCCCCATGATCTACTCCTGCACAATTTTAAACTGCTTATCAACCAGTATGGCTGGTGAGCGGGCTCCTTCACAAGGGTCTCAGGTGTAAATTCAATGTGGTACCCTGCCATCTGACACCATCTTAGCATCCCGGTCTCATTATCACACATGACACAGATTGAGGACATTGATCTAGACAGAAAGAGAAACACCTCAGGGTCACTGAAGGGCGTGGTGTCACTGGCTCGACCTTCTCCGGGATACAGCTGGCCTGTGCTCCCCTGGAGACAAAGCCTTGGCTTAAGGTAGCTGTGAACATGGCTAGAGACAGTAGGAGACTTTGCCTCTGTTTCCCCCACCTTTCATTTCAACCAATGGGAAGAAACTTGGGGACACAAAGGCCGTCTACAGCCGAGGTCCCTGTGTGTCTCCATCTCTTGCCTTCTGCACTTTGTGTTCAGACATCTTTATCCATTCATGGTGTGAGCTGGTGGCTTCATTGATGTCCTCATTTTAACTAAAAGCCTTTGATCTTGGCTATGTCCATGGATGGGCACTTGTAGGATGTACTGTATGCTGTGAATATATGTTGCTATGATTGATTGATAAATAAAATGCTGATTGGCCAGTAGCCAGGCAGGAAGGATAGTGTAGGTGGGACAAGGAGAGAGGAGAATTCTGGGAGGTGGAAGGCTGAGTCAGGAGACGCTGCCAGCCGCCAGGAGGAGAAGCATGATGTAAGATACTGGTAAGCCATGAGACACGTGGCAAGGTATAGATTTATAGAAATGGGTTTATTTAAGCTGTAAGAACAGATAGCAAGAAGCCTGCCACAGCTATACAGTTTATAAGTAATATAAGTCTCTGTGTTTACTTGGAGGACGTGAGTGGGAGAGATTTGTCCCGACTGTCGGCAGGCCAGGATACGAGAAAACTTCAGCTACAGGCACTCCCACTGCTTTCTTCCTTATCTAGTTCCATGGAAAGCCTACTCCACCCCAAGCCCTGTATCTATTTCCCAGGACCTGCAAGTTCAAGCCCAGCCTGGGCAACAGTCCCTAGAGACCCATGCATTACTGGCTGGCCTCAGCTAGTTAAAAAGGAGACTGCCATGGTAGCCCTGAAGCTGAGCATCACTGAGTGGGGTCATTGTCCTCCTCCTTCTCAGACTCAGATAGTAGCACAAAAGATGAATGGAGGAAACTTAAGTAAAATGAGGTAGGTAGGCCCCCTTGGGGGCCACCATGGTAGCTCACAAATAAGCAAAGATATGAGTGTGGTAATCATGTAAGACTTAAAAAATGACAAGATCTCAGGGAAGGGAGAATGGGAGCCAGATGACCTGGGTCTCCCAGCCAGGATCTGAGAGTTCCTTTGTCCTCTACCCCCTTCCCTATGATTGACTGGTATTCTTCCTTTCCCCCATCCTAACAGCCCTCACTAGTGACTGAAGTAAACATTTCCTGGGTGATGTTTAGCCCAGAAGAAACAAAGCAAGACCCACAAAGGTGGTGGGTGGCTTCCACACCCTCTTTTGTTAGATGTTGGCTTAAGCCAGCCCCTCCATGGGAAATGGGCCAGGATGCAGTGCAAAAGCCACAGGACCCCCGCACTGATCCACCAGCTCGCTCTGTTGTGCCAGGAGATCTCAGCAGGGGATGCATACGGACCGGGTGACTGGCTTTTTGAAGTCGTCAGGTCATCGCCAAGCTGCACAAGGGGACTGAGGGCCATGCAACCTACCCCAGAGCTACCCTTAGGGGAGCAGGTGACACTCTGCTTGTCAGGGATGAATTAGCTCTATTCTGGCTGTGTCTTATCACATTTTAAATTCTTAACTGGCTGTGGTCTGATTTTATCATCCACTGAGCTAGGAGGAAAGCTCATCTCTCGCTCTTCCTATCTGTACTTTGCAGGCTGCTGTCCATCCTTCTAGACAAAAGGAGGCTTGATTTTTTGCCAAGAACTCATATCGGTTACTAGGAACATCAGCTCTCCAATGTTTTCTAACCTCAATCCTCCATATAAGACTGTGCTATCAGGACTCAATGACTGGCTAGCACCTGAGAGGGGAATTTGAGGTACAGGTCCAGCTGGAAGAAGGCTGGAGGAAGTGAGTTGGACTCTGTCTTCTTCCTGCTGTGAGCACGGTCAGTGTCTGCAGATGCCTGGTGCTGTGAGGGAGGCTGGGTCTGGCAACTCTCCCTGCTGTGGTGGAAGAAGGGTTTCTGATGGATAGGGAAGCTTCCAGAAAAGTCTCTCTGTGGGTTGGATGAGGATGATCCCATGCAGAGAGAACTGATTGCTGTCCTTTGCTGTATAGTTCATCTCCATCTCTATGTTTCATCTAAGAAATCATGTCTGTCAACATCTGAAGAGGAGTAAGTATATTCTATCTGCAGATCTACAGTGCACAAACCACTGAGTTGCGCACATACACACATACACACCACACCATACAATTGCATGCATCAGAGTATATTCACACACCACACCATAAACTGCATGCATCAGAGTATATTCACACACACAATGCCCATACAATATAAGCAATACACATTATATTCACATCCATACACAGAGTACACAGTACACATGCAGACACATACACAAACATGCACACAACGCAGGATACCTGAACAAGATCCACACGTACATACACCCAACACACAGTACGCTCACTCAGGCACATAGACATACACATAGGTACACGTACAACACAAACATGTACACAGCAGACAATACAATACACAAGAAACATATAGACCCACATGCAGACACATACATGAGCACATAGAAGACACACAGATTGGCACATCTGTAAATGTGTCCTATACTGGTTGAACTTTTGTCAACCCGACACAAACCAGAGTCATCTGGGAAGAGGAAACTTCAATTGAGATGATGCCTCCATCAGATACACTTCTAGGCAAGTCTAAAGGGCCTTTTCTTTAATATTTTGTTTTGTTTTTCGAAACAGGGTTTCTCTGTATAGTTTCGGTGCCTGTCCTGGATCTCACTCTGTAGACCAGGCTGGCCTCAAACTCACAGAGATACATCTGGCTCTGGGATTAAAGGCGTGTGCCACTGCCACCTAGCTTAAAGGGCATTTTCTTGGCTAATGATTGATGTAGGATAGTCTAGCTCACTGTGGGTGGTGCCACCTCTGGGAAGGTGGTCCTCAATGGTGTAAGAAAGCAGGCTGAGAGAGCCATGAGAAGCAAGCCAGTAAGCAGAATTCCTCCATGGCCTCTGCTTTAGTTCCTGCCTTGAATTCCTGCCCTGACTTTCCTCAGTGATGGACTGTGTGCTGTCAATCAAATGAACCCTTCCCTATGCAAGCTGCTTTTAGACCTAGTGTGGATCGCAGCAAAAGAGACCTAAGACATATCCATATACATAACACAAATGCATGACACAGCCTGTTAGTACATTGGCTTTAAAGAGAAAAGGGCAATATGACCTCACGTCAGTTCCCTTCTTCTGCCTGAGCAATAAGGAGAGGCAGTACATGTTCTACATCAGCTTCCAAACCTGCTGGGACCTGGCTGCACGCTGTGGTGATCCTCAGTCTGCCCATGCCTCCACCTCCCTCCCACTGCTGGGTGAGGCCCAGCATGCCAGTTAGGGAGGGCTATTTGGACGGGAGGAGAGTGTAACCTGCCCAGGTCCCCACCCCAGCACGCTTGAGTGTGGAGGACAGAGGAGCATCCTTTTGGTGCCTCTACCCTGAGTGGCTGATGGTCACCATCTATTTCAGGGAGCTAGAAGGCAAGAGGCTTTGCAATTACCTGTTAGCAGCACCTTTGAAGTCAAGAAACGCAGGCCATGGGATGTTCATTTGGAGTATGTGAATCTCTTGCTAAGAGTCGCCATTTGCCATGGGGTTCTCACAATGGGACCCTCACCTGGTGTGAAGTCTACTTAATATGTGACCACTCTAGTGTATGCTGACCTCAACTGGGGCATGATGACCTCAGCTGGTGTATGGTGACCTCACCTAGCTGTGCTGACATCACCTGGTGCATGTTGACCTCCCCTAGCATGTGCTGACATCATCTGTAAGGTGAGACTCAGCTAATGTGAACCCAGAGCTTTCCCTCCTTACCTGTTTGGGCCTCTGCAGAAGTTCCTGAGCCACCGCAGTGGCAAAAATGGCTCTGTTGCTCCCGGGGCTGAGCTGCAGGGACAGTGAAAGCCCCGTGACCAGCTGGACCCCGAGGTCTGTGATGGTGACCTTCTCATCCAGCACAGTGATGGTCTTTTCGGCAAGGATGGCATCCGACAGAGGGGACAGGATCTGAAGGACAGAAGAGCATGTCAAGGGGGAGGCTCTCTCTGGTTACAGCACTTCATCCACCACCTGTCATGTGTGAGGGCATGCAGGGCAATGAGAGGAAAGGAGCCTGCATGAGCCCATTGGAGCAGAAGCAGTCTTCCTCTGAAACTAAATTTTGATCATGGGAATGCAATGGTGTGATGCACTTCTACACAACAGCATGGAGCAGATATGAGGGGGTGCAGAGGGACACCCACAGACCAACTCTGATTGTCACTGCGACCCACTCTTTTTTTTTTTTTTTTTTTTTCCCGAGACAGGGTTTTTCTGTGTAGTTTTGGTGCCTGTCCTGGATCTCACTCTGTAGACCAGGCTGGCCTCAGACTCATAGAGATCTGCCTGGCTCTGCCTCCCGAGTGCTGGGATTAAACACATGTGCTACCACCGCCCAGCTCACTGTGACCCACTCTTATCCTTAGCAAGAGGAATTAATGTCATTGTTCCTTTGAGTGTGGTGATTCTTGTACACACTGTGGGCCATTTCTGCTATTATCAGTGCATCCTTATTTAAAATCATTTAACTTCCCCAAAGCCTTCACATCCCCCAGAGAACCATGACTTGACACTCTAACTGTATTTATTTCTGTCTCACATGGGAAAGCCAGCGCTAACTATAAAGTAGGGCTTCTTGGGATTGGAGAAATGGCTCAGTGGTTAGGAGTGCTAGCTTCTCTTACAGAGGACCTGGGTTCAATTCCCAGCACCCACAGGGTTGATTACAACCATCTATTGCTCCAGCTTCTGGCCCCTGTGGTCACCAGGTATGTGTGTGGTGCACAGACATGAATACAGGGAAAATATTCATACACATAAAAAATAAATAATATCTAAAAAAAAATGTAAGACTTCCTGATTCAAATACTATCTAATCTATCTCCTGTCCTGGGATGGTCAGTTCCATAATTTGACTTTTTCCTCAACAAGATCTCACTGTCTAACCCTAGCTGGCCCAGCACTTGCTATATAGATCTCATAGATATCTGCCTCTACTTCCCTGAGTGCTGGGGTTAAAGGCTTTCACCAGCACATCAGGCTTCGGCTCCACACTTGGAGAAACTCTGAACCACGAGATCCAGTGGCATCTTGAAATCTTGTCTTGCCTCCCATGACACCCACCCATACCCACACGGACCCTGCTTCTGAGTCCAGCCTGGTGTTGATGTTCCAGTCTCGATTTCCTCTGCACACTTCTGGGGACCAGGGAACATGATTCTCCCCATCCCCATCCCACAACGAAGAGCTGGCTTCCTCCCCTTTCTGTACATCCTCAGACCTCTGGGTGAATTAGGTTTGCATCCCGGTTCACCTGCTCTTTTGACCTTCGAGTTGCAGGGCAACATTTCAATAAACCAATTTTCACAGGCTCAAGTACGATCCAACCATCACCTTTGGTTTATCTGTCTGTGGCCATTTAAATGGCAGTGGGCATGAGATGACAGTCCTCAGAAGGAAGTGAATGGACAAGTTTATCACTCGGGAACTCAGTGGACCTAAGTGAAACGGTCTCAGGACTGGATGCCCTGCTGTGACAGTTCCTTTGATTTTTTTTTAAAAAAAATTTCGTTTGAGGCCAGCCTGGTCTACAGAGCGAGATCCAGGAAAGGCGCAAAGCTACACAGAGAAACCCTGTCTCGCAAAACCAAAAAAAAAAAAATTTTTTTTTCAGGCCAGGTGGTGGTGGTGGTGGCGGCGGCGGCGGCGGCGGCGGCGGCGGCGGCGGCGCACGCCTTTAAACCGAGCCAGCACTTGGGAGGCAGAGCCAGGTGGATCTCCGTGAGTTCGAGGCCAGCCTGGTCCACAGAGAGAGATCCAGGACAGGCACCAAAGCTACACAGAGAAACCCTGACTCAAAAATTTTTTTTAAATTTATTATTATATTATTAGTCATCATTATTATTATTGTGTATATATAGGTCAGGGGACAACTCTTAGGAGTAGTGATGACTCTATTATTAATTCTGTTTTAGTTAAACAATTTTTTGGGATTATAATATAATTACATCATTTCTCCCGTCCCTTTCCTACCTCCAAACGCTTCTATGCTGCTTTCCCTGATTTACTAGGATGGCAGGTTCAAGAGACAATGGCCAGTATGGAACTCTCTGTGACCCAGGCAGGGTGAACTCTCTAGGGTTTTGCCTCTCAAGCTGGTAAGACCTGCCATGGCTTAGGGCACATGATCATGAAAAGGTGGAGCCTTGTGTCTCCACATATTGTGTTAGGGTTTTGCTTCTCAAGATAAGACCTGCCATTGCTTTGGAGACATGGCCAAAAAGAGGTGGAACCCTGTGTCTCCCATGTATCGTGGGACGGGTCTCAGGGTCCTTGTTGTATATCACACTCGAACTATATACATTGCGATTTCACTGAAGCATGCCTTATTAGGAGGCTCTGTTCTGAGCAATGGCAGACAGCTGTGTGTCCACCTGCCAGAGCAGTGGGATAGAAAGCCCCGCCCAACTCTGCAGATGCCTTACCTGGATGGTGGTCATGCCCAGCTCCTGGCCAATCAGGATCTGCCCTCCTTGCAGCTTGGCAATCCTGGGCTCCTCCACCTGCATGAAGTCAGTTATCAGCTCCGTGATATCCACTTGCCAGTCAGAGCCCAGCAGGTGGGCCAGGTGTCCCCCGGGATCAGGTGCCTCGGCCACAAACTGGGTCAAGACTCGCACCATGGCATGCTGGTACTGGAGGGTGCAGCCTCGGCCCCTCTTCTCATCATCATCTTCCTCCTCACTGTCTCGAGCTGGCCTGTCAAAAGATATTTATTTATTGGGGCAACTGTCGGGGACTCCATGAGTCTACTTCCAAAGAGTTCAGCTTGCCTAGGGCTCAGGCACACACAGGAGATTCAGGGTGTTTAACCACTGGTGCGGCAAGAGTTCTAATTGGACAGAATGGGGAGGTATGACAGGTGGTTAAGATCTCCCCAAAGATCCCCACTTCCGGCATTTACTCTGTGCCACCCTCTCTCATCAAGTGCTGAATGGGTTTTATGACTCTATTCAAAAGGGATTGGACAGTCCCTCCCTTAATAAACATTTTCTCTTAACCTATACTAACAATATGTAATAATGGGTTTCATTTTGACGTTTTCATATATGTCCACGATGTATTTTGATCGTATTCCTCATCCCCATCGTTTTTCCTCTCTCATCCCCTCCCACTCTCACTGGCGACCCTTCCTTTTACTAACCGACCCTTCTACTTTTGTGTCTTTTGTTGTTTTGGGGTGGGCCAAGGAGTTTCACTAGGGTTGCTTACGGGAACAAGTGTGAGAGGCTATTTACAGGACTATGGCTTTTACATTTACCAATGGCTGAACCACTGAGGACCATGTCTCTCTCTTCCCAGCAACCATTACCTGCCAATAGACATCAAGGGTCAAAGGCTCCTTGAAGATGTACACTCAAGTAATGGTTGCTGGGTGGGAGAGTTCACAAGACCTTTTTATTCTTTCCTTAATACAAGGTCCCACTATGTAGGCCAGGTGACAACTCTCCTGCCTCAGCTTCCTAGGATGTATTCCATCATGCCTGGCTACATGATTGGGTTTAAAGACAGTGACATCAGCCGGGTGGTGGTGGCAGCGGCGCACGCCTGTAATCCCAGCACTCGGGAGGCAGAGGCAGGTGGATCTCTGTGAGTTCGAGACCAGCCTGGTCTACACAGTCCAGGACAGCTCCAAAGTTACAGAGAAACCCTGTCTTGAAAAACAAAAACAAAAAACAAAAAACAAAAAACAAACAAACAAAAAAAAGACAGTGACATCAATGTAGTTTGTATTCTATGGTTTCTGTCACTAGCTCTCTCTGATGAAGCAAGATGCTGTGTTCTGAGCTGCCCTATGGAGACACCCATCTGGCAGGTCCCTTGTCTACTGATCAGTAGCTAGTGAGGAGCTGAGCCCTATGGACAATGCCAGGGTGAGCCTTCTCTGTAGGAGCCTCCAGATGGGGCACCAGCCTCACTGGTAGACCTCAGCTTTCAGGACTTCATTAAGCCACACCTGGCTGCTCCTTCACAGACTCTGAGAGTCTGTGCATATAGTTCTTCAAGCCATACTGAATTTTAGATTAAGGCCCTGCATCATACAGTGTTCTGATTTCCTTTCTGATGCATTGATAAAATACTCTGACCAAAAGCAACTTGGGATGGGGAGGGTTTATTTGGCTCACACTTCCAGGTCAGAATCCATCACTGAGGAAAGTTGGGGCAGGAACTCAAGCAATAACTTGAAGATAAGAACCATGAAGGATGCTGTCTTTTGGCTTTATGACTTAATGTTTATCTAGCTTTCTTATACAGCCCACAATCACTTTTCTAGTAGATGGTGCTGCCCAGAGTGAATTGGGCCCCCCCTGCATCAATTAATAATTAAGACAATTCTCTACAAACATTCACATAGACCAACCTGATCTAGACAATTCCTCAATAGAGATATTCTGCCAGGATGACTCCTGGCTGTGTCAAGTTAACAATTTAGGATAACCAGGGCATACAGTAATATGTAGTTAATATGACAGAGTTGTAACGACTGGCAAAGTCCTCTAAACCAGCATCTAAAAGAGGTGAGTGTTTACCTTGAGCTTAGTGAGATGCCATAATCAAGGCAGACAGGGACAGATGGCTTCAAACAGACAGATGTTAGCCATTCCCTCACTGTCTGATACCTTGTATACACTGGCCCCTTCCCGCCATCATCTCAGCCTTCATTCACATATCAGCTGCCCGCTTCTCAGTGAGCTCATAGCCCTATGTGAGTCTATCAGCTTTGGCGGCATTGAGATGAACATGCACCAGACCTGGTTAATTCTCTGCCTGCATCATCATCATCATCATCATCAGCAGCAGCAGCAGCAGCAGCAACAACAACAACAACATGCACTCACCATCTATCCCAGCCCCTGGAAACCCAGTTCTCCAAATAAATATCTCTAAGAACCATCTTCCCACTGTCCATGGCACCAACTTCCTCTTCAAGCTGTAGCCTCTTCCAGATGTCACAGGACTAGAGGTGTGGACCTCAAAGGCGAAGACTATCAAAGTCCTCCCAGTGACAACCGATTCCCCACCCTCCGCTGCATCACAGCCCGTGGAAGTCTTTCCTTGTCTGCTGACACATGCTCACTCACTCAGACATTTGAAACGTCTCCAGTGCATGCATGTGTATGTATGGAGGTCCCTGCAGTGATGGCCAGAAAAGAGAGACTAAACTTCTATAACTCTACGTCTCTGGTCCTCACCTGGATTTCTGATGGATAACCTCTCTACCAAATTCCACCCAAGTGTGCTACAGGTACACTAAGACAGACAAGCTTCAGACTTCTCACCAGGGCCGAGTGCTCAGAGCTCCTGTCCTGGTTTGTGGAGTGGTGTCTTAAGCTCATCTTTCTCTAGCTGAAGTCTTGTGGCTGGAGTTCAGCTGCCCACGAGGCAGGTTCTAGGCACTTAGTTCCAGCAAATCACCAAGTGAACCCTTGCATCTACTCTTTCTCTTGCCTACACGGGAAGTCAGTCACCTATGTGTTTCCCTCTTCAGCCTCAGTACAATGGACATGACTTTCTGCTCTGGATGCCCAATGTGCAACACACACACACACACACACACACACACACACACACACACACGATACATACAAGCTCATACCCACCTACCTTTTGTTGGAGACAACAGGGACCCTCCAGCCCTTGATCTGGTTCAGCTCCATGTCTGAGACCTCAATCTGCAGGGGCAGCCGTGGCACCCACACTGTCATCTCCAGGGGGCTGCTCAGGTGCTGGTAGGTGAAAGTGACTGCCACGTTCACCTTGCCCTTCATTTCCTTCCCATTGACAAAGACGTAGTCACATCTGTCAGAAACCTGGTTGGGAGGAGGGAGAGAAAGAAGCAGGGAGGCAGGAGGTGAGCGTCATCACAATCCCCAGACCAGGGAACAGGGCCGTGGCCATGTCTGGGACTCATCATTGTGAAGTAGGGCAGGCACAGGCAGTTGCTCTGAATGAAACACCTGGTGACAGATCAGATCCCGCTGGGGACTCTGCAGACGGGACTAAGGGTCTTTGATAGGCTGTTTTGGTAAGTAAAGTTGTACACATCTGTCTGTTTTCCTATTGCTGTGGCATGCATTTGTGTTTGTATGCATGTGTGTGTACATACATGTGCAGGTGGAAACTGAGGTTGATTTTGGGAATCGGCCTTGGTCCACCTTCCACCTTATTCATCAAGGCAGGGTCTCTTAATCAAATCCGGAGCTTACCTATATGGCTATTCTCGCTAGGCAGCTTGCTATGGGTAGCCCGTGTGTCTGCCCTCCAAGGCTGGGATCACAGACAGGCTGCCATGCCCACCTGATATTTATTTGAATTCTGGATGTCCAAACTGAGGTTCTTAGACTCTCAGGACAAACATTTTTAACTCCTGAGCCATCTCTGCAGACACAAAGGGAAGGATCTTGATTGATGGAGATTAGCCCTGCTTATTTGGGTTGGTCCTGGGTGTGTTCCAGCTTTCCTTTTTGAGAGGGACATTGGCAATATAGGAAGGAAGCAGATACTGTGGCCATGGGGGCAGGAAGCGGTGCTGCCAGCATGCAGGTCAGGGAGGGTTGGGAATGGGGAAAGTCAGTTTGGAAGCTGAAGAATCCCGGACTGATTCCTGATTCCAGATTCCAGACCCTTGACTTTCAGAACTACAAGGGAATAAATACATTCTTCCAAAAGACGGCTGGTTTGTGGCTTGTTGGTTCCAGTAGAGAGTGGACCCAGAGTGGAATAGAAGGATGGACTTTGGGGCAAGAATGAGTCCCCTCACCTGTGCCTTGCTTGTCCACACAAGGAGAGGAAGGCAGGTGTGAGGAACCTCTACTCACTGACCACCAGATATGATACAGGTCAGGGATGCCTGCTGAGCTCACCCCAAGTATCATCTCAGCCTCAGGACCACACAGAAGGCAGGCACCATTATCAGCAGCATCTCACATATGATGAACCCAAGGCCAAGGGACACCGATGACTCTAGCCACCCCAGGACCATGTTGAAGAGTAAGAGACAGGGCTGGCTGTCCCTCTGTCTGCCCTGTCCCCTCCCAGGTGCCATTTCAGCCCCAGGGTTCTTACTTTCCACCTTAAAGGATGGAAAGCCTACTTTTAACACTTAAAGGGGTGTGAAAGAAAGCAGACCAAAATGAGTAGGTTATGCAAAGATCACAAAGGCCTCTCCAGGGAAAGCGCTTTTGTCCGCTTTAGAGACGGCGCGGATGCAGGATGCACAGGACAGGCTATTGTGAGGCTCAGCCTGGGTGGGGAGGCCAATCGATAAGCGCAAAGAGAAATGGGCACCCGGCTCCACTGAAGACGACTTTGTCATCTTCAATGTCTGCCAATAGCAAAAGTACTTAAATCTGATTGCATTGTCCAGCGGGACTAGCTACGGCTAGTTTATTATAATTTGTGGTCTGGCCAGAGCTTCCTTTGCTTCAGGGCCCAGGGAGTTTTTAATTTAAGACCTTTTCTCTTTCAGGATCTCCGCTTATATGCAGGTTGAGCATTCTCAGAGGCTCAGACTCCTTGAAAGAGAGAGACAGAGTGTGTGGTTGGCATAACGGGGCAAGAAGAGAGGAAGGGAGGAAGGAAGGGAGGGAGGGAAGGAGGGAGGGAGCAAAGAAAGAAGAAAAGGTTGAAGGGAGGGGGAGACAAGAAGGAGGAAGAATAGGATGGAGGAGGGAGGGAAGGGAAATGAAGAAAGGAGAGGAGGGAAGGCTGGAGAGAGGAAGAAAAAGAAAAGGATACCATGAGAAATTGCTGTAAGAGTCATCTTTAGAGCAAACGAATCCTTTATGACCTTGACTCTCAGGGCCTTCCTGTCAAGCAGATGACCCATTTAAAGGAGCTTGGAGCTCATCCCAGGTGAGAGAACCACACAGCATGCCTTTGCACAGAACAAGTTGTGGGCCGGGGTACACTAATCGCAGCTTTGAGTGCAAAACTACCTTCACCATGGCACTTTGACTCAACGTTGACTCCTTGAGGTGGCAAAACGCAGTGGCAAGTGTTGGTGCAGATGAGATAGGACCTGGGGCTGTGAGGCAGGGCTGTGCACACAAGGTCAGGGGACATTGGAGCAGGGCTGTGCACAGGACCGATGATGTCCTGGGTCCATGGGGCAAGGGCTGTGCACGGGACATCTTGTGTTCATAGATCAAGCCTGAACTGACATGTGGGTGTGGGAGGTATTATTTAAGCTAAGTGTACAGACAAGCCACCAAGAGTGAGGCTGGAGGCTTGAGAATCTGCCTCTGTGACTCTCTGAAGACACCCATGTGGTACAGTCCACATCCTGGACTCCGAGGGAGTCCAAAGAGCTGTTCAATTAGCGATCTCTGGTTCTCCAGGATGCCGGGGCTTGCCTTCTGCCTTTCCTGCTGTGGAGTGAGGATGTGACCATCATAGGCTGTGAGCTGTGAATACCAGTGACAGGAGTCTCTTTCTTGCTGGGACTATCATTCTCCACATGAGTGACCAAGTTTACCTGTGGCCCTATAGCTGCTACCTGGCTGTTGGCAAGATGGTGGCTGATGCCAGGCCAAGATCTCAGAGTTGGAGCTACATGTTGCTGCCGGCACAAGCAGGGGTCAGTGACACAGTTGAGAAGAGCCCTTGCTTGGTATGAGTCACCATAGCCATCACCCTGACGGTTTGCAATACAAAGGGGCCGTGTTCTGAGGGCTGTATTCGTAAGTCAGAACCTGCCAAATCGATGGCATCAGTAGGCTAAGCCTGGCTGACTGAGACGGATGAAGACAGACGAGCTCACACAGCTCTAATTATCAAAAACTCAGAATGAGCCAAGAATGTAATTGGGGTCCCCACAGAGCAGGGGTCTCTGTCTTAAGTGACCTCACACACTTCCAACCTCCAGGTTGCAGGAAGGGCTCTCTTAATGCAAAGGGAAGTCCATGAGAGAAAGTGGAGGCAAACAGGAAATACCAGTCACAGGGGAGCAATGTAGCTTCCCATCAAGGGGACGGGGTGGGGAAGGAAGTGCTCAGGCAGGATACACAGATGGTGGTCTAGCCTCAAAGGGGGACTTCGGTGGTTGGTTCCTGGACACAGTTCTCCCAAGCCTGTGTTTGGGAGGTTTGGGATACATCCTAGAGACATCAGTGGCTATGAATCATGCTTTTTATCCACTTAGAAAATGTTTATGTGTGCGTACACACATGTACATGCATGTGTGTGTAGAGGCCAGGGGTCAATTTTAGCTGCCTTTCTCGGGAATGTAGTTCACCTCCTTTGAGATGGAGTCTTTCATTGCTCTGGAGTTCACCAACAAGGCTTAGCTTGCTGTCCAGCAAGCCCCTGGGACCCTCCTGTCTCTTCCTCCCCACCATCTCTCCAGCCCCCAAGTCAGGTACAGCGACACACATATTACCAGTGTGCGCCGCTGTACCTGACTTGGGGGCTGGAGAGATGGCTCGGCGGTTAAGAGCACAGGCTACTCTTCCAGAGGACCTGGGTTCAATTCCCAGCACCCACAAGGCAGCTCATAGTTGTCTGCAACTCCATTTCCAGGGGATCTGACACCCTCACATGGACATACATGGTGGCAAAATACCAGTGAACATAAAATAAAAATAAATTTTAAAAAATGTGGGATTGGGGGATTACATTGAGGGCCTTACACTTTTCAGACAAATACTTTACCAACTGAGCCATCAATCCCAGGATTGATTTTTTTTTTTTTTTTTTTTTTTTTTGGTTTTTCGAGACAGGGTTTCTCTGTGTAGCTTTGCGCCTTTCCTGGAGCTCACTTGGTAGCCCAGGCTGGCCTCGAACTCACATAGATCCGCCTGCCTCTGCCTCCCGAGTACTGGGATTAAAGGCGTGCGCCACCACCGCCCGGCTAACCAGGATTGATTCTTTTAAAATAACTTTTTACAAATATATTTCATTGTGTCCATTTAAGGTTGATAAAATGATACTTTGGGGTTAACATGGATCCTGGAAACATTAATACAGTGAAGGAAAGTAATGTAGCCTCGTCTTGCATGGCGGCCAACACTTGTTTCTGTGGCAGGAACAGCTGGAATCTCCTTCACCAGGACTTCAGAGTCAAGCCTTCACAGCTGGCCTCTGTGGAAACCTCCTGAGAAGTGTGACTTCACAGAGAACATGTGTCCTGTGTCCGAAGTCACCAAGCTCATGGTCGTTACTCACAGTGGCCGTGGGGGACTCAAACTTTTTACTGATTTTACCTCCTGCCTGATCTCTCCTGGTTCTTACCCTGCCTTAGATTCTCTCAAGTCTGCCCTCAGGAGGGCGCATACACATGATTGTCCTTTACTAGCTCTGCCCCAAATAGCCTCCTCTATGCTCTCCCAGCTCCGGAAGACCTGCTGTACTTGGGCTGGCCTTCAGCTGTCAAAACATGAGTCTCAGTTCCTAAGTAGACAGGGCTCCCCATACATGGGGGTGGGAGATAGGCACACACTGGGCTTGTTCTTAGGGGATCCACCGGAGCAGGTCCCCTCCCTCCATCTATCCATAGCACCAGGTGCTTAGACCTCAGACTCCCCCTTATGAAAGACGAACCAGAGAGATTCGACCATCTAGGTGAGCTGTCAGACTTCATCAATTCTCCTTCAAGTATGACTAACGGGTACATGTCGAATAATTTATTAACTAGCCCTTTACCATGTTGGCGGCTTCAAGGAATGATCAAGTAACACTCTCGAGTCCCCTCTGTAATCCATTTCCAGCCAATCTCCCCTGCTCCGTGACGGAGACAAAGCTAATATTTCTGACTCTCGTGTGCATAATCCTGGCACTTATGTGAATTTAATGCTAGCTCTAGCGCTTCTGG